AAAAAAAAAAAAAAAAAAAGAAATAGATATTTGTTCAACGTAATCAAAAAGCTACAATTTTTCAAATTTTTCTAATAAAAACACTCATGTACTTCTGTTTTCTTTTTTTGTTAATACTGTAAATTTCTTAGCTATAAATATACTATAAATATTTGGTTAAATTGTTTACAACAGTATTACAATAAACTGTGCATAATTTTACTGCTGAATATAGTAACAGTTAAATGCATAAATAGTGTGAACAACAGATGTACATTATTGCATTATTAAGAACAAAATATTTATCAAAAAAATTTCTTTACAAAACAAAAAAGAAAAAAAAATAAAATAAAACATTTAAAAGGAATAAAATAAAACATTTAAAACTTTATCAAACATTGAATTAACCTGGGTAAATAAATTTAAATGAAAGATAGCAAAAAGACAAGCGCTTAAACTTAGCAGCAACTTTAATTCTCACGAAAGTAAAAATTTTTCCAACATTGATTTTAAAAAAACTGGTTGAAAGTAATTTTCTCAAAAATAACTTATAATTTCTCAAAGCTTGAAACCAAAATACATGCAGAAGTTTTTCCTTAAAATGTATCTGAACGACACTTGTGTATTAAAAAAATTACCTTTGACTGCCGAGAAATCTACCTGATAATTCATTTGTACGGCAAAAAAACAGAACTGTAACATTAGAAAAAACTAAAATTTCAGCGAAATGAGTACCGGCACCAAAATTTTTCCTTAATGTTCAGATTCAAAAATTCTCAAAGACTATATAAACAGTTTTCGTTATCACTAAATTTTTTGACAGTATAAAGATCAAAATTGAAAAAAGCTCATAGATGATTAATTAAAAAGACTATCAGTTTTGAACAACAACATTATATAAAGAAATAATTTTCAGGCGACAGTATAAAAAAAAAAACTCTTTTCTCATTAACTGCAGATCTATTTTCTAGATAATAATTACCTTTGTAATTCTAAGGTAAAACAAAAAAAAAGGAAGAAAGGTGAAAGAACTGCTTATATTGATAATAGAACCTTCTGTTTATTCCAACTTTTTTGTTTCTGTCTGTCGTCTTTTTTCGTCTTTACTTACATAATTGTTAGATTTTCAGTTCAATTTATAAAATAAAACAAAAATTGGGAAAATCATTTTTAAAAACAAAAATACCAACAATTTTTATACATCGATAACAAATGCAGAAGTGACATTGCATACAGGTTGACATCAGTCTTAAAAAAATGAAATAAAATAGTAACTGCCTCTATATTACATTGATGTCTAATAGGACATATAAGCGGAAACGATCTGAAACGGTAAACATTTTTTTAAAGCTGATATGTGTAATTCGTTATAAAAAAATTATACATATGCTATTTTTATTAAATTTTTTTAAAAACTACAAAAGTAGTTTACTGTGGAAAAATGTATAATGCAGAAGTAGCTGAGAAGTGTTGTGTAAAGATAAAAAAGTGTTACGTAATATTTTGGATATTTGATATCGAAATATTAAGCGGATATAATTGTTTAAATGCTAAACAGTAAACGACTATAGTTACTGCGGTTTATTTGTCATAAAAATTAACTTACCGCTTCACTGCTGGGAAGTAAAGTACTGTGGTCGTAATTTTGGTAGTCATAATACTGAAAAAGGAGGACAATTAACAACTGCAAATGAATGTAATTTTTCATTTCCTAATAACCACTCTTATACGAATTATGTTCTCAAGTAAAAACGTGGCTAGTTTAAAATAGATTAAGGATACGTCTATAAAAGTTTGAAAAAAAATTCTAATCAAATTTACATTTACCTGTGGTGTTTCAAGAAGATTTTGTTGATAGGCTGCAGTAACGTTGCCTAAGCCGGTGACAAGGTCTGTTGACTGCTGCGATTGCTGCTGTTGCTGAGTTTTCGGTTGTTTCTCGACAAAACCTTGTAATTGTGACTCGTTAAAGTTTGATCCTGAACAGATGAGGTATATCATAAGTGCTTCCGTTACTGAACACTGATTTGGCGTATTCACTTCTTTTTAGTAAAATCTTAAAGTTCACTGTTCAATTTTCACCTGTTTCAGCACCAATGTTATCTGTTTGACGAACTTGTGTTTTTTTGGTTCTTATGCGCTTATTACCAAACCAGTTTGAAACCTATAACCAAACCAATATAAGGCTTAAAAAGCTTGAAATGCGTTTATAAAATTACAGAACTTTTATTTTATCCTCTTGAAAGAAGTGGAAAAATTCCATAGATTAAAATAAATCACACCTGATTTACAGTGATGTTACATCTCCTTGCCAAATCAAGTTTGGCATCTTCGCTTGGATAAGGATGGTCAATGTGTGAATAAAAAAATTCTGATAATATTCGGGTAGCGTCTTTACTAAAGTTTCTCCTTTTACGCCTATAAATGAAGTATTGTATCGTCGCTTCAGATGATAAGTTTAAAATGTTTTCATTTACCAAATACCAAACAAATTGCACGATGAATTTTCGCATTTATTGGTTTTGAAGTGCCAACTATTGCAAATCAGCTTTTTTTTTATTGGCCCATTTCTTGGACATCTACCAATAAAACATGGAAAATTCCGTTTCTTATTAGCTGTAATAAAAACTAAATCTTTTCAAGCTCTTATTCGGTTGGCAAAACAAGTTGTAACCTGAGTTTTTTCTTAATTTCTTATTTTCTTATAATTATTTTTATTTGCTTTTGTCTTTTTATGAAACGTAAATTTGGAGAAAACTTTTGTTAAGAGTAAATTGATAGTCGTTACCGTCTTTATTTTGCTTACCTTAGTAAGAATAAGTAAAGTAATCTTTTTTTATATTTTCTTATTTTCTTTATCAATTTGGAAACTAAATAATCGAGAAGATGATTATAGTCAAAAACAAGAAGTAGTATTTCAATGAAAAGTTAAAAGACCAGTTGCGAAACCTGCCTTGCATCAAAGTGTTTTGATCTAAGCAACATAAAATTTTGATATGTCAATTGCTTCAGCTGATTTTGATAACCGACAAATTTTAGCTCCATCTCGCTTCGGCATTTTTCAATATCAGCAGCAGTTATTGGCCGAAACATTTTTTGTTCGTTTAATAGACGCATCAACTCGGCACCAAGTTCAATAGATTTCTTCAAAACCACTGAGTGAAATTATACGTCAAATAAAACTCAAAGAAAAAATTTACCAAAAATTTTAAATTAATTTTAGTTTGGTAAAATTATTACCGAAAATGCTACCTCATATTTTATATAGCTTTATTCAGTTTGATAAAAACTTAAAAATTTGTGCTTTGCTTAATTTATCATTGATTATTGCATCTCAAAAAGTGAAAAACTGTTTTAGTCATTACTTAATATATTTTTTTTCGCTTATTTAGTTTGGTTTTTTTGCAATTTATTGCTGAAAATGCTTTCAAATTTTTGTTTAACTAAACTACCATAAAACACAGTACATTAGCTGTTTAATCAACTTTATGTAAATTAAAAAAGAGTTGTTTATAAATTTTGACAAAAATGGTACTGCTGTCACTTACAGCCTGTAAATGCTGCGAGAATTGTGCGAAATCTGTTCGAACTTCAGCAAGAAGCTCCTGATACTTTTCGTCAATTTGTTCACCTTCGTGATCTTCGTCATCACAGTCATCCCAACTTAAATCAACGTAACCCAGGCACTCTTTCTGAAATCAAAAGAGAGAAGTGTGATTAACGAAGAGACATAATTTGTTTCATTTGAACCGCTAATTTTTCAAACCATTTTTAACTATTTTTCAAGACGCATTAATACATCATATTATCTTGGCAAGTTTTCTTTTTATTAAGAGCATTAATTTATGCAACCGGCAATAAAATATGTGAATTTTTATTACCAACTCGTTCATAATTTTTATGGTTTAACACCTGATTGGATAAGCCAACTACAGTTTAAGTTTTTAAACACATTTTTAAGCTTATGCAAACTTTAAAGTAGCAATTTATTTTTGCTTCTATACCGTATTTTAAAGCAGGTACTTAGTTGCTGCATCAATCTGACAGCTAATATTAGAAGAGCGTTAAAAAGAAAAACGAGAAGGTAAAGAAAGAAATGAAAGCAGTTGAAGGGAAACGAGGAGAAATTTTCTTTTCATCTTCTTTAGCGGTAAAAAAAAATTCTGTAAACTCAGTCGACAAATACAAACGGTGAGTGACATTGTAAATAATCAAAGACTTGCCAATTTGCTGTCAATTTTTTGTAACTGTGAATGGTGATCGTATTGTTTAATGCGATTTTCGACTAACAAACCTGTAAAACTGTTTTATTAAAGCCGTCTAATTTGTTAAAAAAAAAACTTTTCTTTCTTTTTTTTTGCTTTTACTTCAATTTAGCTTCTTTATAAATAAATTATGAGAAGCATTTTATCTAATTGTTGGTTTCCACAGTGTTGATACAGATTAACACTAGCAGAAAAAAATTAAATTTTTGAAAAATAAAACTGATTTTTTTTTCAAATTCTTTATTAGATAAAACGTACCCATTTGTTGCTTCTTTTCGCAAAGTATTTGAAACATAACATCAAAATACCGATTACATCTTGCGCTATGCCTGCAAAATTATACAATCTGCAGTGATATTGTCATATTAGGTAAAGTTTTAAAAAAGCAAGAGAAATGCTTTGGGCAAGCTTTTCTCCAAATAGTAAAATGTCATTTGAATCAGAAAAAAAAAAAACGAAGTTTGAACTAAATTATATAAACGTAAGTCAACAAAGCTTTTTTAAAAATTTCAGTTTTTACGTTTTCAATTCTTAGTTGTTTAGAAGTAGTAATTCTTGTACTGTTTGTACAAACTTTTTCTTTGTTGGCGAAACTTTAACCTTTTTTTTTGTAAAAGTTAAGATATTATTAATCGTCTTTAAGAATGAAATAATTTAAAAAAACACGTAAAATCAAGTAATAGGTTTTTTATTTGCTTAAGTAATAATTGCTTACACAACATGTCGGTAATCAACCAGTTCCTGGTCACAAATTTTTTGCACTTCATCAATTAGATGTTGTAGGCTAGCAGGTGTCTTGTTGGAATAACCAGACATACAAGATGCTGCATTTGGATCAGAATTTTGAAAGCAATCCAAAGACATCATTAAAAGCGATCAGTTTCTGTAACGTTTCCTCCTGATGCTGAACAAAACAAAGTTTGCAAACAGATACTAACTAAGCTTAGCAGTCGGCAAGTTGATAGCAGCTGCTTCTATCGTCCAAACTTTTTTTTTCTTTTATTTATTTATTTATTTTTTTTTTGCAAAACCTCTAGAAACATTAAATATTTTAATCGACGATTATGCAGATGCATATAAATTTCAAAAAAAAAAAAAGTTTGAAGTAGAAGAAGCAGAATATAGCTAATTAAAAATTACAATCATTTCTTGAAGACGGTTGTTTCAATCATAAACTAT